ATATATATATTTTATATATATATATATATATATATATATATATATATATATATATATATATATATATATATATACTTGCATTATGCAAATAATAAATATTTTCTTTTATATTTAAGACTTTTTTTTATTATATACATGGTGTCTGACGATTTGACGATTTAATCTACATATATATTCTTTGTTTTACTGTCAGACACATTGCATATTTTTGCATAATTTTGCCAAAAATAAATACATTCGAAATAAATTCGTTTTGAAAACATTCGAATTAAAAAAAATTGTTATCTTATGATTCAGGAAGTCACTATAGCGCAAGTGTTACGTTATTTAATCTATCTTTTGACATACTTGAAAAAAGTCTAATTTAGAAACTGTGAAAGTCACTAAAAAACGGATTGTAAGGGTTAAGGTGTATAGGGATTTAAGAGAGAAAATTGAATAAATAATAATTAATTAATTAATTCCCATTCATCTTAATATTTAATAAAATCCGCGCACGAGCGCAACCTATTGGCATTCAATGCCAATCGACGCGGTACCCTCGCACTGATCCTGGACACTTCGTGATTAGCTAGATTGGGTATGCGACCGGGAATATCTCATCTCGACGGCACAGGCGATCTTCTTCTGCGGCTCCATCGTCGGCGGCTTCATCTTCGGCTGGATCGCCGATCACAAAGGGCGGATTCCTGCGCTGATGCTGTGCAACGCGGTCGCGTTATTGGCTTCCATCGCGACCGCGAGCGCACGTACCTTCTGGTCCTTCTCGTTGTGCAGGTTCCTCACCGGCCTGGCCTTCGACAATTGCATCAATATACCGCTGATCATAGGTGAGCTTCACGCTGAATCGCGCCGGGATAAAAATAATCATCGGATTGCGCGCGTGCGACCGATGAGAGACCTTCATAAACTCTCTTCTCGGGTCGGGTTTTACAGTCGAGTCGGGACCCCGACTCTCTCAAGTGCCTGGATCTATTCTTACGTCTGGCCAGATAAATTATGTATCAAAATATTCCCGATTGTCGTCGTCTCTGACATCGTACCGATAAACTCGCGCAGCACAGGCCGCGATTACGTCTGACATCTGACGTCATAGTTATCATTTTAATGAACGGCGGGCCATCCGGAGGAGCCCGGCAGGCCGAAAAACCGTTTCAGCCGATCTACTGACGTGGCTCATCAATATTTATGGCCACGCATACATGTTGCGCGCTACGGCCCGGCGATTTCTCGTATCTACATGCCATTCTGCATGCACGTTTCGCGATCATCGGGCATTGTTGTTTATACGCAAATTACATTACGCAAATCGCAGCGTGCTTATTACATATGCTGTATTAATCATCGTTCTGTCGAGCAGTGGCCTTTAAAGTGCGACTACACAGAGAGAATTTTATAAGAATTTCCTCTGTAACTAAGGAATAGATCAACATTCTGCAGCAATTGATTATTTCTTTCATTTCATATGTGCTATTTTTTCTAAGAAATATTGAAATATGTTTTCAAAAAAATTTGTCACATCCAAAAATATTCTTGTCTTTAGCGGAATCCTCGTATACATGACTTCAAGAAGATTCTTCTAAAACCGAAAGGAATTTTTAAAGACAATATTCGTAAAATTAAAGGAATTTTATTTACAATGCTTACAAGTCTTAATAGAAATTTCTTTTAGAAAGAGGACATTCTGCTTCAAGTCATCCAGGCAGAACCAAAAATTACGATGAGATGAAAATGATGCCAAAACGACGAGAAAATGACTAAAAATGTTTCCTTTCCCAGGTAAAATAGATAATCAAAATAATGTCAATCAGACGTTATTTTAAGCAAATATTGATCAAAGTTACAACATTTTCTGGTGAAAATGACATGAGATCGACATTATTTTGACTAAATAAAAGGGTTAGAGATAAAAGCATTTAAGAGCCAGGCACAGATGTAAAAGTGCAATCAATGTATTATAACTATATAAATACAAATATATAAATTTACATTTCGATCCGATTTGGGTCCTCTTCAGAAAATTAACAGTTAAGAAAGCATTGAAGGTCAAGGTTTTATGCCTGGCTCTTCAATATTCTAACCTCTAATCCTTTTATTTTTTGTTTTTAATAACTTAGAACCATTCTTTCTTTTACTTTGTATTATTATGATTATCTGTTTTACTTGGGTTTCAATCACAATTCGATTATTTTCTCGTCGTTTTAACCTCATCATGATTTTCTGTTCTACTTAGGCATATTCCTCTTAATTTAAAAGGAAAAAAGAATAACATCTAGCAGATCTTTTATTAACAGTTGATATCATTAAAAGAGGAATACTTTTTCGATAAGGGTTTTTACTTATAATATGGGATCACAATAAACAGCACCTAAAACTAGAGTTCTTTTTTTTCTTGGCTATTATTTCTTGAATATTTTTCTTTTAATTATAGAAGAGTCTCTCTCCTCTTGAAGTCACATGTAAGAGGATCTCGCTAAGACTAAGATTATATTCTCTCGAATATATATTTCTAGCGAAATTTGCTATATTCCTAACGAAATTTATTATACTTCTCAGCAAGATAGACCTTACGGACAATCGATTTCTGCGCTACTAGGGATATAGTAAAATTGAAAAGAATTTATATGAAGAGAAATCTATAATATTCTCTTCACGTAATGAATAAAATTCCGAACCGAATCTTCACAGTGGTCGAGTACATGGCCGTGAAAAGGCGGACCTTGGTCGTCAACGTCGCCTTCGGCGTATACTTCGCTCTCGGCAGTACAGTTTTACCATGGGCCGCGTACTACGTCGCAAACTGGAGATTCTTCGCTTATATCACCGCGGTGCCGATGATGAGCGTCTTTATCACGCCTTGGATTCTGCCCGAGAGCGCACGGTAAACGCGATACTCTATCAATTCCTTCGCTCATCCTATCCGAAATTTCGTCGCGCGGATTTTTCATTCGCGAATGAAACGCCGCGACAATGCGCATTTTAACGTCAGTGTGATGTAGAACGAAGTGTATAGTAGGACTATTTTTACTAAAAAATTTTTAATTTTTTATTAAAAAATCAATGAATACTCGCTGATTACATTGATTTACAGAAATAATTTTTTTGTCACGTAGATCAAATGATGTGATCTATAAATTTTTTAAGCTGAATTAAAAAATGCTAACATATTTCTTCTATTATCCAAGATTTTCTAGAAATGTGATTTTTAAAGTGTAAAATTTTAAGAGAATTAATTTTCCTTATACGGAGAAAATATTGTAGTAAAAATTGCGTTACAATTATATTTCTTTTTACAATATTTTTTTTCATAAAGTTGTGACTACAAGGTAAAATTGTAGTATAATAAAAATACTATAAATAATAAAAATAATAAATAGTGTAATATTATACAAATAGTAATATAATATTACTATAGTAATATAGTAGAGTATCATAAAAAATAATATGTTAGTATAATATTACTATAAAAATAGTAAATTTGACAATTTACCTGATCCACTATATACAATAAATTTATAATAAAAAGTCAAATACACATAACAGAACATTTAATATAACAATATTTTCAAACAAATATATAATAACTTTAGTTATAATTCTGTATCGCCCAAGTTGTAAAAAATTTTATTGCAATTTTTACTACAATATACCATATATAGACATGGCTTACGTAATTTAAAATATAGAATCTTATAATTTTCCGTTGTACTTAACTTGCAATATGTCTCTTTTAAAAACCAAAAAGTCGTATAAATTTTTATTATATTTTCTATCTAGTTGAAGCCAAATCGCATGAACAAAAAAAAATTGTTAATATTAATGAATTTTCACAGACTAATTTTATAAACAATTAGATGACTTAAATGGAAAAACTTTTTTATAGAAAATATTTAATATTATACTTCAGTATAAACAATTTAGAATTACGTGGAATTGTTAATTGTGTGGAAATATTTTTTATACTTAACTTGCAATATGTCTCTTTTAAAAACCAAAAAGTCGAATAAATTTTTATTATATTTTCTATCTAGTTGAAGCCAAATCGCATGAACAAAAAAAATTGTTAATATTAATGAATTTTCACAGACTAATTTTATAAAAAATTAGGTCGCTTAAATGGAAAAACTTTTTTATAGAAAATATTTAATATTATACTTCAGTATAAATAATTTAGAATTACATGGAATTACTAATTGTGTGGAAATATTTCCTATATATAATATAATATAATATAACTCAGATAACCGTTAGAGAAACAAACTGTAAACGATGGAGAAATTCTGAGTTTATTTGTGGATTCTACACATAAAAATACATAAGAAACAAGAAATTAGTCGTTGACCGATGTTATCGGTAAAATACTCCTTTTACTAGTTAAAGCTCAAAAACATTTGTACTGACTTATTTTAAAAGATTAATCAAGATATCTATTAAATCACGAGATTCTCAAGTGAGTAGCGCCGGCGCTTCCAGATATTATACGGCGTCTCTCGAAATTCATACGCCTGATCGTACATTGAGAGAAAAATATAATTGTCTTTGGCGTCAACTATACGCTTTTGTGATTTTAATCAGAAAAATAATTAGAAGAACCATTGTTTTAATAAATGTTATTAGAAAGATGGTTCTTCTAACTATTTTTCTGGTTAAAATCACAAAAAAGTATAGTTGACGCCAAAGGCAACTATATTTTTCTCTCAATATAAGTTCATTTCACCGACATCCGTTGTCCCGCGTCGTTCGAGTACTTTCCGCTAAATAGAGCACTGTTTCACGGTTAAGATGGTTCGTCGCCAATGGTAGGATAGACAAAGTGGTGCAGAAGCTGCGGCGGATAGCGAAGGTCAACAAGAAAAGCCCGGACACGCGCATTTACGAGATCTTCATGGTAAGCAAGACCGAGATATAAAGCCCGCGCGATCTTCGTGGGATCGAAATACAAGCAGTCCTTAATCCACGTCCGCCTTACCCTGTTCGTAGAGAAACTCAACCGTGTCTGACACTCATACGGAAAGCGCGACAATCTTCCATCTCCTAAAATCACCGCGGCTAGCGAAGAACGCTATCTTACTGATCATTATTTGGTGAGTACGATAAGCCGCCGTCGTCGACGATCTTTTTCTCCTTTCTGTCGCATGCCAAGACGCTGGAACTCTTACATTCATGAAAAGCATCCCCTTTAAGAAATTTATCCACCAAAATGGCGAAAATTATATAAAAATTTAACGCATTTTTTATCATAATAAAAAACATTCGTAGCTGAAGTTTCATCCGATTTGTATCGTTCGTGAGAAATTTATAGGGTTGGGAAAGTTACTTTTTAAAAGTAACTAGTCATAATTACAGTTCCCTTTGCTGAAAATGTAGCTAGTTACAGTTACAAATTATTGGCTATGAAAAGTAACTCGTTACAGTTACAGTTACTCAAAAAATAACGAGTCGTTTTAAGTTACTTTCTTGAAATGATTGTAAATTATTATTGTAAATATAAAAATCTTACATTTTAAGTTTTACTAAGATGTAAGAATTAAATTTTATAATTAATATATATCACATTATAATTAGTCAATTCACTTAAAAAATTTCAAATCTGTACTTAATATAATAAAAATTTGATAAATTTCCTAGATAACAAAGAATTTAAAGAGAATTCAGTCAACAATTCTGAGTTTATTTTTCAATGCAAAAAGAATTCTTTTCACTGAACTAAACTCTGAAGAATTCTTTTTACATCTGAAAATGAACTCAGAATTGACGACGTACGACTGGATTCCTTTTTAATTCTTTTTTAATTCTCTGTGCCAAAAATAATCCAAAATAATTTGAATTATTAAATTAATATACAATTACTATGTAATTTTAATTTTATTTTACGTTCCCCAAGTGACTATTAAAGTAACCGTTAAAAAAGTCACAAGTTACTAAAAATAAGTAACTAAGTTAAATAACAGTTACAGATGGAAAAAAAGTAATGAAGTTGTAGTTACTGAAATATGACTGTAACTGTAACGAAGTTACAAGTAACGAGTTACTTCCCAACCCTGGAAATTTAGTACTGAATATCGCAATTTTGCACATATAACCTTATGGTATAAGCAACATGGATGACTAATTATTCCAATGTGACTTCGTGAAAAGTGATACCATTCAAATAAAAAACATACCGTCATAAATGTTACATATTATAAAACGCGGTATAGAAGAAAGAATAGTATACTCTACAATATAATGGTATATTTGCCACAATTTTATTTTTTATTCTTGATTAAAAATCGTGGAGCCTCAACCATTATTTTTGTGTTGAAGAATTTTCTTTTCCAATCAATATTACGACTTTGAGTGCACGGTCTATGTATAAAGAAACATGTGGCGGGACGAGTACATCACAGGAGGTTAAAGGGACAACAATGACTGATATGTCCATCTCTTCTTAGAAGATACTGAAGAGAGGCAAGAGGGTGACTTTCATAGGAAGGAAGGTGGTGACATTGCAAGAGACGCTGGCCTACACGTGTAGACGCAATTACTGAATTAGAAAATCTAACTTTAGAGAATACCGCATTTCTGCTTTGCAGATATACTCCGTCCGTTGCGACACGATCCTTCCTGAATGAGCGACGTCAGAATCTGGCAACGTCTTGTCGTTGGATATATTTGAGATATCTGTGGAATTTATACCGCGTATTATTTTTCAGATTATGCAACCCATATTTCCTCTCCTTTCTCTGTACACATGTCGCGCTCACGTCATATACATGTCAAGCTCGCCGGACGCCGACGAAATTACAGATGTTTCTTCACGTTTCAGGTCTTTGACGTTGATAGCGTTTGACGGCCACGTGTACTCCCTTAAGTTGATCCAGAGCTCGGTGTTCGTGTCCTTTTCTCTCGCCTGCGCAACTGAACTGCCAGCCGGGCTGCTGCTGACGTTGCTGCTGGACCGTTGGGGCCGCAGATTCTGCGGATTTATCACTCTGGCCATGACTTGCCTCTTCAGCTTCGCCGAGCTGCTGTTGCAATCGAGTGAGTGCACAGGCCTCTCCACGTGTCCTCAAGTAATATCGAGCGCTCGCTAACGCGGTCTCATGCATTTTATTGTCCAGCCGTGGCGATACTCACGATGTCAGTGCTGTCGCGGTTTTGCCTGAACATGGCGGCCAACGTGGGTCTTCAATACGCCGCTGAATTGCTGCCGACCCCGGTTCGGTCGCAGGGTGTCTCGTTGATCCACATTTTCGGCATAATCGCTCATGCTGTCGCGCCGTACGTGGTGGACACGGTGAGTGATCTTTCCATATCGTTCGCATTTCATCTCGTGAGAAAGAGACATTTCTCCCGGTAGAACAGAAAATCAGGATGACCCCAGCTTAAGAGGACTGGAGGGTCAGATTGCCTGAAAATCGTGCTTGTTCTTTCACAATTTTTTGTGACAAACTGAATGAATGCGAAAGTGTTATTTTGACGTGTGTTTATACAACATATAAAGAAAAGAAAAATATAATTTTCAATTTTACTCATTTTGATAATTAAATACTCAATATAAATGTATGATACATGCAGTTAAAATATATTTCGTTTTTCTTTTCAAGGTCGTCATTTTGCAGTAATATCTTGACTTTCGTGGTTCAATTAAGCTGAATTTTAAGTAGAAAATTTCCGTAAGCTTGTGAAAAAATTGTGAAAAAACAAGCAGGATTTTCAGGCAATCTGACCCTCTAGTCTTAAGGCTCCTGTGTCCTCGTATTGTCCACCTCTTTTTAATGATGTCAGAAGAGAGAAAACACATACCAAAAACTCTTGCAAAGTACATTGAGTTAAAGAACATATCCATCAAGTGACACTAGCAATCTATTGAACAAATATATAAAATAATTCAAATATTGTTCTTTTGTTCTAACAATAAATAATGTACCGTAAATTAATATAACGGAACTATCCCGTGTGGAAATTTGTTTAGCAAGAACTACTTCCTAAATTTCTTGAAGTCAAAATCTCACTCGAAAAATAGAATGATAACTGAGTTACTCAAATTAGAGTGAATTCTCACTCTTATAGAGTGAATTCCTTCACTGTGTGTCGTGGAGTGAAAATGTTCACTCTGTGTCGTGGAGTGAATTTTCGCTCGACAAATGGAGTGGCTGCCGTCACTCGAGTTAGAGTAACTTTTCACTCGTGTGGAGTGAATTTTCAATCGTAGAAAAGTGAATGATTCGGAAACAATTCATGTATCATTATAATATCGTAAATATCGTAAATGTATCATTATAATATCGTAAAAATTCACTTTACTTGGAGTGAAATATTCACTCTTATGAAAAGTGAAATGTCACTCCATTCAGAGTGGCATTTTCATTATATTTTTATTATTATAGCGCCAACCTTATGTTTAAAGATGATATCGATAAAAAAATTAAGAAAATAAAATTTGCATTTTTTTTCGCGTGGTAAATATACAATTTTAATCGTCAATGATTCTATTCTACACATCATCGCTATATTGGTTTTTTCAATGATAAAATCACTGTTTCACAGATTGAAACAAAGAATATAGCTCTATTTAAGATTGCTCGATATCATTATATCGACGAAATCTCTACTTTGCTAATATAAACAATTTGAATTAAACAGAAACATAAAAAACGATAAGTAAATGATTAAAAACTCACTTTTCAATCATGATTCGATCCTTTCCATGTCATTTTAACATCATCGTAATTTTTTGTTCTGTTTGAGTTTGATCTTCCATAACTGTTAGTTTTAATCGTCTTTACTTGGTCGAAATGTTTCCAGGCCAAGATCTGGGACGGCTTACCGATGATGATCATCATCATTGTGTCTTTCGTCGCCGCTACTCTGACATTATTCTTGCCGGAAACGCTCGGCCGCGACCTGCCGCAGACTCTTCGTCAAGGAGAGGACTTCGGCAAGGATCAGAATTTCTGGACACTGCCCTGCTGCCAAAAATCGCACATGGACCGGCATCGACATTATCGTTCACGCGAACTGTAGTTCTTTTAGATTTTATTATAATGCTCTGCGCAATCAGCGCGAGGACGAATAGCTCAAGAATTTTATTAAAGCCAACTCGGCGTTTTATGTTACGTAATGTACAACATGTTCTACTCAATGACTATACATTTTTTATACGAATGAATAGAGTTTATATATAGATAGGAAGCTCGAAACAATTCGCTCGAAAAACATTCGTATAGATAGGAAGCAAAAACAAAACTTACTTGAAAAAACATCACTTTTCCTTTCTTCCTCAACGTTATTAGTTAAATTTTGTTATTATTAAAATGTCAATGTTGTTATCGTTAAAATGTTTACGGAAAAAATCGTTATGGTGGTTATATCCACATATTCTATTGTAAAGAGAAAATTTATATTATTTAAAATTAAATAGATATAACATTAAACGTTGCTATTATTGTATGCTCATTTATACATTTCTTCCAATTGCAGTTCTTATGATATGTACATACTAGTTAGGTACATACAGTTGCCTTAATCGAAGAAATATTGCTGCTTATCTGTTGTGGCAGAACAAATATTATAGTCGAGGAATCCAAAGGGTTTTTCCGTAGGTTTTATACTATACATTACTCGGAGAGTATCACTTAAACACGTATGGGAAGACAGCGAAGAAGGTCAGTGTATCAATTCCTGAATACTATGGTTATTACAAGCATCATGTATGCATGAACAAAAAATAACATTAATATTTTATTATAGCAACTATATTTGTACAAGTGATATCTTTGATATTTTCTCCATATTGCTATAATCTCAGTAAATTAAATTTTTATGTGAGAATTCTATGTTATGGGCAAGAGGAAGGGGTGGCTTTCAGACACCATCTAAAAGCACTCAAGACTGAGAGTCCATTATGTGTCAGCCCCATATAACATGGTATCTTTATAGCAGTGATACTCATATCCCAGAGAACATAATGTCTAAAATCGGGACATAAGACGTCTTAAAGATCATCTTTAAGATGTCTCAGACGATTTACGTATAAATGTCTTTAAGGCATCTTAAAGATTATTTTTAAGACGTCTTATGTCCCGATTTTAGACATTACGTTGTCTTTCACTCCTATTCATGACCTCTCACGTACATCTGTAATATCTGTGATATGCACTTAAGGGTGTTGTGTGGAAAGTCTTGTAGAAGTTAGGGATCTTGGAAGAAAGTTTATTCCAGCTAGTAACACATCACCTAATTTGATTTAGTCATGATGGAGAATATTAATATCAAATTTCGAGAGGCTCGAAAACTTTCTTTGCTATTACCAAATCAATTTTTTCCATCTCTTAATTGTAATATTATTCCAATTTTAATGAAACTCAGGGAAAAATATTTATGTTCTAAGAGGACTATTTTGCGATTTTGTGCTCGCTATTCTTCTCAAGATAAATACTAAAAAAGCACATGAGCAACATATCTCTGTGCTGGGATTCTATAACTCGTTATTGGAGTTATTGGAGTTTCGTTATCGTTGCGCAGCTTTTGTATACTGTAGAAAAGTTGCGTAACGATAACGAAACTGTCATTAACTCCAATTAACGAGTTACAGAATCCCAGTACTGAGGCCATATAGTCCTGGTCTTCCTTATACCAATGCGCTGTCTACTATACCACGTTGATCTCCTTGTATAGGAATACAATGCTATTGTATAAGAATACAATATAGTTATTTTCTCTAATGGAGAGAGCACCACATGATATTAAAACATTAGTTTAAGGTGGTAAGGTAGTAATATTTTAATAGACATTTAAATTACATTATTTTAAACGCAAGGTAAACTTGAAATAATCAAGAAAACCTTGTATTAATATTTGGATTTAAGGTTCATTAAAAATCCCGGAAAATATAACATTTTATAACATTTAACAAACATCATGATAACATCGCTACCATAATCTTTAGCAACATAATTAAAAGCTTCTGAACTTTTTTTAATGTTAATGTGATATTTTTGTGTTATTAAAAACACAAAATAAAAGGGTTACAGGTAAGAACATTTAAGAGCCAGGCGTAAAAGTGCAATCAATGTATTACAACTATAAAGATATATAAATTTACATTTCGACCCGATTTGTTGACGAAACGTTGTTGGCACATTTTTTGCATTGGGTTGACTGTGAAGAGAGAAGTAGCTGCTTTTGTGTATGCGAATGACTATTTGATCTAATTCGATATTTTAACCTGATATTTGCGTGCGTTTTTCTTTTTGTGCTTGACCTTCAATGCTTTCTTAACTGTTAATTTTCTGAAGAGGACCCAAATCGGATCGAAACGTAAATTTATATATTTGTATAATTATAATACATTGATTGCACTTTTACACTATGCCTGGCTCTTAAATGTTCTTACCTCTAATCCTTTTATTTTGTATTTTTAATAACTTAGAGCCATTCTTTCTTTTACTTTGTATTTTTGTGTTATGTGAGTTCTAACTAAGAGGATTCACGTCTTCTCGAGAATGGATGCGACGGAGTGGAGAAATGCAGCAACAATCAAAAAGACGTAAAATGTATGCTATTTGTTTAATTTCTCATCAGTAATTCAGTTGATTCTAGAGATCGCAATTGACGAGATGGAATGAACTGTAGAGGTTGCGATTTCATATATTTGTGATTCTCAACAATTTTCAGATCTGGCAGTAAATGCAGATGAGAGATTCCATTTGCGATGCGACGAAGGTCGCGTTAGTCTACCCGCTTTAAATTACATAGAATTTTCTACTTATGTAACTAATTGATTGTGATCGCCGTTGCCACTGGCGCATGGCAATTTCGTAACAATTCTTGATGATATATCAAGAGAGGGACTGCGGTCCCTTTGTCGATTCGTCTGGTCTGCTGTATGATTGAAAAAGTATCAAGAGTACAACAGAACGCGAATCTATGTGTCATTCGCTACGCATAATCGCCCTCTGAGTCTGAAGCTCCGTTTTATCTAGGAAGGAATGAGCAACGAACCAGCAAGGCTGAATGTCCCTTTGTGATATCCCGCGGATACGATGTAAGTAAGTTACTCGTTACGTTGTGACTAATCTAAAGCTACGTAGTTAAATAGCTGTGTATCACGCTGCGTCTTGCAGAGCCGCGAGTCGACAATCGAAAAGGGAATATCGGTATATACTCTGTGCACGTGTGTGTCGCGAAGAAACGACCCGAGAAGTAATTCTACACTCACGAGACGGTCGCGTTCGGCGATTCGAAGTGCACTCCGCGCGCATTCGTGCCCGCTCAAGTGAGCGTGCACCCCCCGGAATGCCTGGCGGCGCATCCTGCACTTATACCATCGTCCACTTGGTCCACACCACTGCGTCCGCAGTTCGCTTGGGTCACCGCACATCACACGCGCCCGACGTGTCCGTCGCATCTCACACGAGCTTCGAGGAAAAAACACCTAAGATCACACGTGAGTTATTTACAACGATTTTGGCAAATCCTCTGCCGCGACCGCACGGCCGCTATAATCTGGTGGAGTCGATTGTCTGGATGCTGCCGTGGAAGGCCACGTTCGTCATACCCTCCTTCTTCTGCTTCCTCAGCGACTTCTTCACCTGCGGGGTGCTGTAAATTTGCAGGAGTAACGGATGAGAGTTCACGAAACTTTTTAGCCCGTGGAGTTTAGTGGTCGGCCGGCGAAATTCACGGCTATCTATTTTTATTTGCAAGCCCGGAATTTGCAGCCGCGCGGAAGAAACTGTCGGGTGAGACTTACGAGGATATGCATGGTATCCACCAGAAGCTCTGGTCCCTGCCGAAGTCGTTACCCTCTTGTAGAGTCTCGGGCAACTCTTGGTTCAAGGTTTCCGGCAACGCCAAAGTTAGGAACGCGACCACGAACGACAAGAGGCCAAGAACGATCAGCGGTAAATGGGGGTGCACATCGGCCTGGGAGAAACGACATTGTTAGCATAACTGATCATCTTCTAGACAAGTATTATGAAACTGTTCGACCGGGAAAGGTTCCGTTTTCCCTCAGGAAAGACAATAGAAATGTATAAAACAGAATTTTTTCCCGATTTAATCATTGATTAGAACAATATATGCGCGCTACGCACGCGCCATATAGTAAAAAACAGTTAAAAATGTAAAATAAAAATTAAATAAAAATTAAATTAAATTAAAATAAACTTTAATTAATTATTAACTATAAAGAGAGACAGGGGAGACAGGGAGAGACAGGGAGAGACAGGGAGAGACGGGGAGAGATGGGGAGAGGCAGAAAGACACAGGGAGAGACAGGGAGAGACAGGGAGAGACAGGGAAAGACAAAGAGAGACAGGAAGAGACAAGAAAAGACGGGGAGAGACGGGAAGAGACAGGAAGAGACAGGGAGAGACAGGCGCAAATGACACGAAGCAAGCCGCAGCCCACATGAAGTGAGCTAAGTGAGAGAACCAATCAACATCGCGGAAACGTGGCAACAATTAAAAATCTTACATGTCTTTTTTTAGAGAGGATAAAAATTAAATTAAATTAAAATATACTTTAATTAATTAATAATTATAGGGAGTGACAGGAAGAGATAGAGAAAGACAGGGAGAGACAGAGAGAGACGGGGAGAGACGGGGAGAGACGGGGAGAAACGGGAAAAGACGGGGAGAGATAGGGAGAGGCAAGGAGAGACGGAAAGAGACAGGGAGAGACAGGAAAGGCAAGGAGAGACAGAGAGAGACAGGAGCAAATGACACGAAGCAAGCCGCAGCCCACATGAATATATCTCAATTCAAGTAATCGACAATTGGTTCAAGTAAAATCCTTGTTTCCTATATTAAAGAGTATTTAATTGACAATTGATTTCAACGAATTTAATCAAAGATCATTCAGTTGACGATTGATATGAGCGAAGAGAATCGAAGATAATTCGATTAACAATTAAACTGAGCAAATTTAATTAAATTCGCTATATTTAGACGTCAATTAAAAGATTTGCTAAGTACAATTATTAATCTCAGTAAGCAAACGATTATTGATAGTGTTATTGCAACGATAAAATAACATATAACACGTTTTCTAATATGTAATTTTTAACATATATCAACATCATTATCAGGTAAATTCAACAATTCAATACTTCTAAAATATTCTTGTAATATTTAAACAGATCCTACCACCAGGTAATGTATCTTTGAAATATTTATTATTGATATTAAAAATATCAGGAATATAATTTAATTATATTTAACAGATATATAAAATCAATACTAAGTAATGTAAGATATTGATCTAATATTCTTTGTTCTGGAAAAGGAAGATCAAACGATCTTTAATTCCTTTCGCTCACATCAATCATTATTTAGACGGTCTTTAATTGAATTCGTTGAAATTAATCGTTAATCGAACGGTTTTCGATTGAACCTGTCGAAATCAATTGTCAATTAAACGATCACTGATTGAATTTTCTCGTATTAATCGTCAATTAATCATAATAATTAGTTAAAAAATATTCAATTACTTGCAATCCTAGTAAGAAATATGAAAGAGAGAGAGAGAGAGATTTTGAACTTTTCCGAACAGTTTCGTAACGCCCGTCCTGTTTTGCTTTCTTTTTTCGTTTGTTTTCTCAGATTTCGTTGATTTAGCTTAACAATCTTTCGGAGTACTTACCAAATAGATCACATAGGGACCGATGATGTGGGCGGTGTAACCAATAATGTGAATCAGCGACACACCTTGCGCCCGTACCACGGTCGGCAACATTTCAGCCGCGTATTGGAAACCGATATTCGCGGCGATATTGACACCAAGGCGCGCCAAGATCGCCATGGTGACGGTTAATGCACCTGAAATATCACGAGCGCCGTGTAGATGCAACGTACTGAAAGTGCCACCGCCCGCTGGATCGCAGTTCGCGCTCTCCGGCGAGAACTTGCACCCAAATAGAACGGAAAATCACGACAACGTCAAAATGACAAGAAAATGACCGAATCGAGAAGCGAGTTTTGTGATCATTTCTTCGTCGTTTCGACATCATCTTGACGTCGTGATTTTTTGCGCCACTTGGGCAACTTCGAACGCGATGGGAGAACCGTCTCGCAGCGAATTCTCCATCAAATTTGCCGTTCTATCACTCTCTTTTGCATCTATCATGATCTAAAGCTCGTCAGCGCCATTGTTATCCACGGCGGATAATTAGCAGCGCTGTCGGCGCAACTCACCGGGAGGAGTCAGGATTGCGATTAGCGAGAAGACGCCGCATATGAACATCGAGGCGAAGCCCATCCATCGTCTGCCCCATCTATCAAGGAAAAGCGCCAAGAGAATCGCGGCCGGAAGCTCAGTCATGGCGGCCAAGGAGAAGGATGTGAATACATCGGGATCCAACAACTTCATGTTCCAAACGTGCCCGTCGAATACCCAGATGATCAAGAGCCTGTGGGCGAGCCATTCGATCAATCGGCCCGTTTCCGAGCGCGAACAAGTCAAAATACAATTCGGTCGTCATCCAGCGCGATATTTACCAGTAAATAACGAGTATAATGGTGATACGAGCCAGCCGTGGCAATTTGAAGAGATCCAGTACGGTGTATTGATTGTGCAATTGGTTCCTCTCGAGCATGGCCTTGCAGCTCTTCTCGAATTCCTCGAATATTTCCGGCTTCACTTCCTTGCCGTTGACCTTCGCGAATTTCTTTAGCATGTCGACCGCCTTGTCCATATGGCCGCTCATAATGTACCATCTGCGAGCGATATTTGCAAGAAGATTCATTAAGACTGGGAGAATTTGACGAGACACGGTGACGCCTGGAGCTGTAGAGGGGGAAAGCAATTACCGTGCACTTTCTGGAACAAGCCACGGCCCCAGGAAAGCGACGATCATCGGGAATGCGGTAACGACGCTTAAAATTCTCCAGTCGGCGATCCAATACGCGATCCACGGCAGCAGACTGGCGGCGATGGCAAAGTAAATTCCAAAGGACATGTTCGCCACCAAAGTTCTATACTTCGGGCCGACGTATTCGATCACTGCGGCGAGAAAAGTACAATCGGAATTATTCGCGGGAATTTCACGAGATCGAAATTCTACTTCAATATTTATACTTTTATTTCTAGTTTAATTTTGGTTGCATTTAACTCCGCACAGAGAAAAATATCATTCTACTGCTAAGAAAAACGATTACTGAGTTTACTTTCCTTTTTTCAAGTAATGGTTATCTTCAACAAAGAATATTTTTTTGAACAATCTTAAACTAAGATCACAAATCTTTCTAAAAAAGCTCATTATTGTGTATTCAAAAGAAGAAATTATTCTCTTTACAAGCATATTATAAAATTTTACCGCAAAAAAGTTAGTTCTCAACTCTGTAATAAGCAAATCGAGTTTCTTTTTTAATTTCATATTTTTTATTGAAAAAGAAAACTTACTTTAAAATTTAGAATATATTTTTAATAAATTTTATATTACGGATATATAAACTTATAAAATATTCGAAAGAAATATAACATTTACTTGAATGTGGTATGTATTTTTCTGTACACAGTTTTATACTTTTATAGTTCTGTATTTTTTATTCTTATATTTCACTTTTATATTTTTGAAATTCTGGTTTATAAACTTTGATTTATATTAGTAAATTTAAATACTAGTATTAAACGTATTATAAAATGTATTAGAATACATTCAATTCTATTAGTGCGTTTATATTTATTAATATAAATTAGAACTTATAAACCAGGATCTACCAGCGATATTATAAACTCATAATATATACTCATATAATATACTATGTTATAAACTCATATAAATGCATATTTATATTTTGTTTTATAAATTTTCTGGTTCATAAATTTTAATTTATATTAACAAACACACTGGAAAATTAAATATATTACAATAAAAAATATTATAAAACGTATTATAATACGTTCAACTCTGATTTATATTTATTTATGTAAAGTGGAATTTACGAACCAGAAAAAAAGCCTAAAATATAAAAACAAATTTATAAGAATTCATTTATAAGTCAGAACCCAGAAAAGTAATTTAATATTCCAACTATCGATTATTAAATGCGCAAAAAAGATAACTCCGATACCTATCTGTACATCCTCAAGAGGCTGCTTTGTTTAGACAGAAAATTCGTCTTAGTTTGTGATAATTTCCTTCACACATACGTTCTTCATACATCTGTCATAATGTTAATGCTCACCTATGATGAAGAGGACGTTGAAGCAGTTGTCGAACGATGAGCCGACGATCATCCTGGCGATGCAGAAGGACCAGAAGCTGTTGCAGAAGGCCGTCGCGATCGAGGCGAAGAATCCCACAGCGTTGCAGGAGACTAGCGCCGGTATTCTGCCGTAATGATCAGCTATGTAGCCGAATATGAGGCCGCCGATGATGCTGCCGACGAAGAAGGCCGACTGAGCCGCGGAGCCCAGGAATGTCTTGTCGCAGACCCATTCGAGCTGTCAAAATGGCACACACTATTGCAGTCGCTCGCGATAAAATCAAATCCGCATGCAATTGACAAATATCGAAAACTCGATGGCGTTATTATACACGGAAATAATTGTCTACTATCAATATCTTCGTAACCGCTTATTTTTCAACGTTTCCGCGAATGTGTGCCGCATGTCGATGCCAAAAGAAATCCTCAATTTGAAATTCTCTGAAGTATTTTGCAAAGAGAAGAATGAAGGAGGTAATGACGCACGAGAAAAAGAATAACACGTGGCATGCGGCTGGTACTTAAATGCGCAAGAAGATCAACAAATTTATTAAGCGATTAGCTCCGCCGACGCCGTCGGATAAGGATTTATTGTACGCGAGGAGATAAACACACCGCGTATTATGCATATTGTACACACAGAAAAATACATGCAAGTAAATGTTACTCGTTTCAGGTGTTTCACAAGTTTATACACCGGCCAGTTAATCGTCATCTGATCTGTCGGCGAGTACATTATAAGCATTAAATCTATTCAACGGTTGTTTTGGACTCTGATAAATTTAGTATTTTAATAAAGCTTATTTATAATAAATTTAGTATTTTATAATAATGAATAATTTTTTAATTAAAACAAAGATTCGGTTTTTTTATCGCATATGTGGAGAGAATACGAGTATTGTAATTTGGTATTGGAGGAAAGCAACTTGATCAGAAATGAACTGAAATATCCACGAAATATTAGAAATATTTACTAACATTTTAAGACTATTAAGGGAAAATATTCTTTGTTATAGATAATTATTACTTGCAAGGGACTATTCTTATAAGAAAAAAATGTTTAGTATTTATAATTATAATCACATAGAGAAATAATTTCTATAAATGATAAAGAGAAATTTTTTTTTTTATTAAATTCTATTATAATAATAAAAATAGTATTAGTTGTAATAAACCCTTATATATATGAGTATTCGCTACTGCCATTTTCGTGTTAGAACAATCCAAAAATATGATTGGGATCACACGGAAGAAAATAATTTGCTGGCCCAGCAAATTTTCTACTGATCTAGCATAATCTTTTCGTTATTATATGGACAGCAAAAAGATTTACTAAGAGTACTAATCACTATTTGCTGGATATAATTTGTTGAATCTACAAATTATTTTGCTATAACAATGGTGGATTTATATAAGCAGTTGCAGTTTTGTTCCTATAGCAAATAAATTTGCTAAGGATACATTATTTTGCATCAACAGCAAATTAACGTGATTCTTAGGACAAATACACTTAACACATTTTTTCTATCCTGGCAACGAAACTACTTCTGCTAATGAATAATTTGTAAAATTAGTTATGTCAACTAAATGTTTTTGATATCACTACGAATATGCAGTTACTAAAAGAGCAACGTTATTTTTCTCCGTGCAGAAGTAACTATAATTTTAGCTAAATCAGTCATTTTTTTCTCTGTCAGTATAGAAGGAGGAAAGTAAACTGAGTAATCGTTTTTCTTAGCAGCGGTAGAAACGACACTTGTCTATGCGCAGAGTTGCCTACCTCGGCGGCGATGGAGGCGTACGGTACCATCGTGTGATTGAAAGTCCATCCATGCCTGCACTTTATCGTCGGCCACGACATATTGGCTTGCCTGACACCCTGCTCGAGCAGCTCGGTGTAATTCACGTCGTACATGTAGCATCTTGAGAACGGCGTGGCGGTCTCCAGCTGCAACTCCTCCGAGGTAGCCGGCGGGATCGCTATCGCGATTCTGCGGACATTAAGACGACCGCTGACAATCCTGATGTATCTTTACCCTCGGAACGTTGAGCAATTAACTTTATAATCGTGTCGTGCAGCGCACGTTCTCGAGATAAAAAGCGTGCGTCCTTCGCATAAAAAAAAAGACCAACTAATACAAGTGGATCGTGCTGCACGCCGGTTATGTTAGACGACTCACGCATGTTGCGTCAGCTGGATTAGCGAACGAATTTTTTACAGCGCTCCTTCGTTCACAAACACGACTTTTATCACTTCGTTCGACGCGGTCGCCGCGGACTCGGCCGCTCCACTCCCATTTGTATTCGGCGGAGGTTAAATCCCTGCAATCCCTCCCGACGGGACCGTCGCCTGGAATCGTGGATCGCGGGTGATTTGGAAGCGGCGCCGGGGAAGACGCGCCGTAAAAAAATCCGTCGTCCCAGCCTGAGTCTCTCTTTCTCACGGTGGAATCCTCTCGAGGTCGACGGCCAAACAGGTTTTCTGTGTAACTTCGGCCACGGGAAAACCACCGATCGACTGATCTGAATCACGCCACGATCGCGACGTCGGATTTTCCACACGATACCTGATATGACTGTCCATGCGACACGCTTTGTTGGAAACAACGATCCGGTTATTGAGATTTTTAATCGCGCGCGAAGAAAAGGAGAGAAAAATTGCGTCTGGTGGACGCGACGAATCTGTTGCATCGGGTGAGGCCGACGTACGCGACGAGAGAACGTGGCTTCCGAAACGATCCAGATAGACTTTCGTGATTATCACGACATGAGGCGATCGATGACGAAACCCCTGCAGTCTCTTTTAATTCTGATCTGGCACACTGGGATCACCCAGTCGACTCTTTATTTTGAATGAAAAATTGAAATATGAAGGAAATTATCGAAATTTGATCAAATATCATGGAAAATGCAATATACAAATCTGAATGCAACTTCTAGTAAATTTGTTGCTACATCAATGTAACAAAAAATTTGTATTATTGTACGATCTAAATTTAATGATCAATTCAATAAAATATGTTTGCCTTATAGCATTTTTACGGAATGCAAATAAACGAGAATGAAAACGTCCCAAACCTGCTAGATTAAGGCAAAACATGTACACCATATAAGCGTTAATTACATTAATTATATTTGTAAGACAGACATATTGCATTAAATTGATCATTAAATTTAGATCGTACAATAATGTAAATTTTACGTTACATTAATGTAGCAACAAATTTACTAAAAGTATTATATCCAGATTTGCATATTGCATTCTCCATAATATTATTGTAAGCAAATTCTAATAATTTTTTTTTTGTATTTCTCTCGTATTTCTGTTTTTTATTTTACGTGACGAAAATATGAACGTCACATAAACCATTTATTAAGAAAGTAACCTTTATAAATCGAGTAGTAAAGTTTCTGGGCAGACTTCCATGACTATTATGATGCGATAAAGATTGACGATGGAAACTCTACAATCTTCTTTGATTATATTTCTGGAGAAAAAATATACTGTACTGAATTAATCACTAAATTTACATCATCCAATAAAGTAATCTTATTGTTATATTGGTGCAGCAACAAATTTGTCAAAAGTTAGCTACACTCTGATTCGCATATGACATTGTTTTGAGTAAATTTAAAGCATTTTTTTTCTTATCTTTTTTATATTTATTTTTCTTATCTTTTTTATATTTATGTTTCGTCGTTCTATGTGAGAGATAAATGTGAGTGCTACGTATGAGACACGCATAAGAGACGCATCTACTACAAATCGACCGATGAAGTTGCTGCTAAATCTACTGTGTTACTGTCAATCCGGGGATCTCCGCCGAAAGAGCGGAAACTTCATCTTGCGTATTTCTCCTCTCGAGCTTCGATCGAGCATCGACACACGTTATATCACATGCAAAAAATACAATTACACGCTTCCATCCTTGCAGTCTGCCGTCTGCGGAAAGCGCGCAAGAAACGCGTAACGCAATTAAGCGTAATTATTCGTAGCCCGGAGAAAAGTTTTTCCCGTAGAACGAGGACAAATTGTGAAGCAGGAACAATCAATATCGTTGTCATTTCGTATTTTTCTTCTTAATTAAGCGATCTCGGAACGATCTCGTGACAATTGCTGCATGAATGAGCAAGCACGTGTCTCGGTGTGCTTTTAATCGAAAATATACAGAATTCTGGGAATATACGGGAATACCGACTTATCGCCCGCAGCGGAATTTTTAATGGTGCATTAACTGAGTCATTCAAATGCATACGTGTGTGATAAGAAGTTATCACCGGAAACACAGGTGGAATATATGTAATTTTACATCGGTCGATGTTCTACGCGACCGTGACATTTTATCGGCTTACAAAAACACCTACAAAAACTACAAAAATAAGCAAGGAAACTACAAGATATCGACACCATAATTCTTCCAGAAATTTTCACGTGCGAAAAATTGTGAGATTTCGAATCGGTTCCAAATATTACCAATTCATATCTGATAGAGATATCTCTCTCTCTCTCCCTCTTTCTCTCTCTCTCTTTCACTATTTTTTTATATTTAAAATACTTTTAAAAATCATTCTTATTCTGTGTCGCCAAAGTTATCATAATCTCTCCTCAGAAAGAGATAAAAAGAAAGAAACAGGAAACAAAGAACACATTGTAGATCAAGCTTAAGAGTCATAAAAATTCCATTCAGTCAAACGCTGCCTCATTAAAATCAAACTTCACGTTAACACAACAAAATTCTTTTCTCCGTGTGTATATATTTAATCAACAAATAAAAAAAATTCACTCTCCCAAATCGACCGAGAAATCCACAGATGAGGAGGAAGGCGAGAGTTCGGGACACCCAGTATATGCGCAAAATTTCGACACGCACAGGGGCGAGTTTATATATAAGCCGACCGAACCGTGGCTCAAGGTCTCGGTCAGCTCGGAGCCTTGAACTGTCGTTATGAATTTAAGATGAAAGGGAGTTTCTCTCTCCGCCGTCTCCTGCATTCTCTCTTATCTTGGAACTACCACATCAGGGATCGCGAACCTTGCTTTCGCCATCTGCGCGTGCACAAATCGTGCACCGCATCCGCGTTGTCTGCGAGATCGCTGATTGTTTAATAAGTTTTTCCTCCTTTCTAGAGTTTTCAAATTTGATCATTAACCCTTTAAAATCCAAGCACAATTTTTTCTTCATAAAATAGTCTTAGAAGATGCTATCTATGAGAGGAGTTTCGTGGTCCGAATAAAATTGATCATCGTGAGAAGTACATTTTCTGAATGTACATAATTATATACACTGAGAAAAAAATGTATATAATTTCAAAGAACATTTGTTTGGATATAACGGTAAACATATTTGTTTAAATTAAATAATTATTTTCTAAAATCAAAGACAGAAATTTATATTTAAATTATATTTATATTTATATTATTTATAATTTATTTATAATTTATATTTATATTTAAAACTTCTTTATTTAATTTTAGAAAATAATTACTTAATTTAAGCAAATATGTTCACAGTTATATCCAAACAAATGTTTTTTGAGATTTAGTAGATTTAGTAAATTTACATAATTAAGTACTGAACCTTAAAATATGTCGCATTTGAAAACTTTACCGACAAAATAATGTCTTTCTTCTGCAAAATTTACGTCGTATTGGTTGCATAGAATTACAAAAATGTTTCTACATTATTAAAATATATGTAAAAATGAATTGAAGAGCACTGCTCAGTATGTGACGAAAACGATACAAAACTTCAGAATTGACATTTCAAGCTTCAGTTAGCTTAAATATTTGTGCCTGATGCAAACATTCTGCGGTCAAACATATCAAACATGTATTTGTTCCGTTCAGGAAAATTTCAGGAAAGATTGCAGTATTCTTACAACTGAATTCAGAAGCTTAAAAATGTAAAGCAGAAAAGTTTGCAGAAAAATTCATTTATACGTGTGATTGTGTTTCCCGTTATATGCGCGGTAGCACATGTTCAAACGAGATCTCTATGTATACAAGAATCACGAGAAAGGTATAGTGATTGTGTTAGTGCCATATACTTACAAGGGACAATACCCAAGCGTGACACGCCACTTCTCTTGAAACTCAGCATGCACATAACATATGACATGACGTTTCATATTTGATATTTTATATCGACCCATTTTTTAATTTGCACAATTATTTAGACGATTATTTAAACAAAACTCGAAATGGCGATGCACGTAAAAACTGATATTTATAAGCCCATAACATGTAAATCTAAAACACATAAACCTAAAAACTGTAAGCGCGTAAACTCATGCACTCAAAACCCATAACTCGAAAATCCATAAACCTGTAAACCTGAAATCCAGAAGTCCAAAACCCATAAACAATCGTCTAAATAATTGTGCAAATTAAAAAACGGGCCGATATAAAGTATCACATATGAAATGTCATGTCATATCATATGCTATGTGTGTGTTGAGTTTTAAGAAAAATGGCGTGTCGCACTTGAATAGTGTCCCTTGTTAGTATGTTTAGACTGCGTGTTCTTAATGTTTCTTTAAACGCGTCGTTAGAAAAAGATAGAATGGTGATCGAAAGTGTTTTATCTTTTTCTATTTCGTGACGCCCGCTCAGCCCAATACGCAGTCTATGTATATTGAATCTATGCTTAGTGCTTATCTGTCATGATGTTTCGACGATCGTCTCTAAATTATCAACATTTGCAAAGTTCGTCGTCCACTCTGGCGTTCCCTTGAAGCATCAACGAAACGCGAACTTTCGTTGATTCTATTCCATTCTAACTGTAAGAAACAAAGGCGGTATTCCGGCCTAGTCAACTCCTAATTCGATTTTAATAACAAAAAAAAATGGAAGTTATCAAAAAATTAGGCTAAAGACCACCTTGGCTGATTATAAAAAGAGAGAAAACTGGAGACTCGCGGCAGTCCGGAAATATTATTAAGAATATAAGATTAGCCCATTGTTAGGAGGTTTTGGCCTATTAGGCACATGTCTAGTTGTTAAGTCTTGTAATAATATTATATCGGTTAATTAGTTGCTGTGTTTATATTCATATTTTATAATTTTGCAAGATTGGTTATAATTTTATTAAATATAGTTATTATCATACAGTTAAATCCGAATGTTTATTAAACCCTCTGATAATTAAATCGATTAGTAACATAAAGAAAATAATTCGACTGTTAGGAGAGGATTACATAACGATCATCTCCGGGCATAAATCGCAACCGAGAAGAGGATGCTTTCGTCACTCACTGCTCATAGTCGGTGAGATTCCAATGCTCCAGCTCCGGTATGGTGCACCAGTGCTCGGCGGGGATGAGGGTGATGAAGAACTGCGCGAAGTACAGGAAAGCGTAGACGAAGGTGAACGGTAGCAGCAGAAAGAACAGGAACCATTGGTATCTGCTCGCCTCGCCGACGTACGGCAGGATGTCGTCGAAAGTCTCGATCTTCTTCGAGGCCTTGCCCTCCTCGGCTTTCGTGGACTCGACCATGGCCGTCATCGTCGCGGTGTCTGGAACACGAACGGGAACGCTTATCTAGCGCGTGCCTTAAAAAGGTTCATCGGAGTTGACGTCAATGAGAGAGATCCCCAGCCGGCATTTACGTTGGAGCGCTTTCGTCCACTTGGAACGTGAGGTACGATAATGGCACGCGGGAACAAAGACGAAATACATAATGCAGCGCCGGAACATCGGCCGGCATTCTTCCGATAATAAGGATCCGCGGTTGTTGGCGCAGGCGGTTACACGCTGCGAGCTCTGGAAGCGAAAAAGGAAGAATCGACAAAAGGCGGCGATTACCGCGTCCTTAGCGGGCACTGCGACTAGTTCTGATCGGATGGAAATATCTCTAGGTCGTATTAGCTGCTAAAAATATCGTCTAAAGTATTAAGAGGCAAACAATAAGCGATGACAAAAATCAGGAAAGAAAATTCTTGTTGGATCTGCTACGTCACACATAGCTCTATAAATATGAGAGGTATGATAATGAGAAAGAGAGAAAGAGAGAGAGAGAGAGAGAGAGAGAGAGAGAGAGAGAGAGAGAGAGAGAGAGAGAGTGTTACGTCGATGTTACGAGTTAAAAAATGAAATTACAATATCTACACCCAAAATAATACAATTTTATTCTTAGAAGATATCCGCTTATACAAGAAGCGAAAAAATTGCAGTCTAAATTGCAACAAAATTTTCGTGAATTTGGATCATACAGAATTATGACAGAAATTATTATATATTTATTTAAAAATTTTATGTACGTTTGACTACTTACTATCAAATTATTATAATTACTTAAATATTTTTTTTTATACCAGTTAAATCGTCAAATTTGCTATTTCTAACAGAAAAAAATTAGTATCTATTTAAAACTAATATACTCAAATTAACAATTATTGTTTGATATATAAGTAATGATATATAATTTTAGAAGAATTTTAGAGTCTTGGATTTCAAAAATGTTATAATTTGTGAATATTATTATATAAACATTTTATTTAAATATTTATATTATGTTTAATAATCTCATAATAAGTATCTCATATTATAAATATTTTGATGATAATATTTATATTAATATTCTTTTTCCGATATTTAATAATATTATATTTTTAATCTAATATTTTGTGCTTTTAATGAAAATTATTTTTGAATAACAAAAATATATTTTTCTATGTTGAATTGTATATAAAATCGTATATTGATAATTGATGCTAGTAATTCATGTTCGTTTAACGTTATGTAAACTCATTTTAAGATCTACATAATGTTAAAAATAAAAATATTTTCGAAATAACAGCATGTTCTTTTTTCTTCATATATTTATATCATTCTATATAGTAATTTATATCACAATTTTAATGTAGTCCAATTTTACACAAAACATTGTGAAAAGAAATATAATTTTAATATAATTTTCACTGCACTATTTTCTTTGTATATATGGCCTCAAGAGAATTCTTCTAAAACTAAAAAGAAAATATTCTAAGCACAATATTCTATAAGAGAAATTTTACCTTTCAGCTGTAGAACAAGTGCCTTGTCCTTAATTTTTTCTGTTAAAACAGTATTCTGCTTCAAGTAAACATGTCCTCCTTGATTCAAAAGGAAAAGAAGTTAGAATAATATATCTAGTGAATTTCCAATTAATAGTTCACTTCAATAGAATACTTCTTTGGTAAAAATTTTCGCTTCAAATATGGGATTACAGGAAATAACGCCTTACAACTAGAATTCTTGTTTTAAATGTTAGAATTATTCTCTTTTCGATTTTATAGAAATCTTTTCAAAGCTATATACATATGAGATGATACTCGCCAAGAATAAGATAATATTTTTTTGGGTACAACTTTTTAGTTACGGGGTGAAATGGCTGTTAAACATGCTCCGATGCTTACCATTCATAAAACGTCAATATGCAGTTTGATTTGTCATACAAGTGTATCTCTTCTCGTACTCTTTGACTTGTTATTTCTACGAGTTGGAGAGACACACTCTCGCAATAACAAATGTATTACTTCACGGACATTTTTATGGTGGAAGATCTTTTTGTTCAGTTTGACGTATGAACACAGACGTCGCTACCATAATTTGCATTGACACAGTAATTGTTTACAAAATGATAGAGGAATTTTGTATTTAGTTTGACGAGTTGCACCTGCACACAAGGGGTGTGTCATTAACTGTCAGACATCGCGTGTACATATAGAATTTGATGAATATTTTCACGGCAATTTTCAGGTATCTGCTCCAGCTAGTTCCGAGAAAACCTTTTCACATAGAAGCTCTTAATAGCACGTGAATAATTGCAAGTGCAACAATGCGTTATGCATACGTCGTGTGTGTTAAATAAGGAATCGTAACAGTTAAAATTATTTGAATTTACGAGATCTTTTCAGATATCGCAACCAAGAGCCGCGCATTGTCTCGCGCACATCAAAAGCTGATGCAAGTAAGAACGCGCTAATTATATCGACGTATCGTTCTCGACAATAGGTGAGAAAAACTAAGCAACGAAGTCATCGGCGCTAATAACGGCATAAAATATTCATCAAATTCTATATGTACACGCGATGTCTGACAGTTAATGACACACCCGTTGTGTGCAGGTGCAACTCGTCAAACTAAATACAAAATTCCTCTATCATTTTGCAAACAATTACTGTGTCAATGCGAATTATGGTAGCGACGTCTGTGCTCATACGTCAAACTGAACAAAAAGATCTTCCACCATTTTGCAAATGATCACGTAGATTTTTGGTTATTAAATAAAATAGATTGCACATGATTGTACGCGATAATGCGCCATTTTTCTAATAACTCTACGTGGTCACTTGCAAAATGGTACACCGAGAAAAATAAATTTGCTGGCCCAGCAAATTTTCTATTGATCTAGCAAAATCTTTTCGTTATTATATGGACAGCAAAAAGATTTGTTGGGAGTACTATTTGCCGGATGTAATTTGCTGAATCTACAAATTATTTTGCTATAAGAACCATGATGGATTTGTAGCAGTTGCAGTTTTGTTCCGATAGCAAATAAATTTGCTAAGTAACTGACAAGGATACTAAGGCTTATAAGGAGCGAACACGGATGTAGTAATATTATCTTTTTTTAATATTACATACGTGTAATATTAAAGTTAGTAAAATTGAATAATATAAAGGTGTTTCATATGTAATTTAGTTCATGTAAAATTTGCTAAGGATACATTATTTTGCATCAATAGTAAATTAATGTGATTCTTAGAATAAATACACTCAACAAATTTTTTCTATCCTGGCAACAAAACTACTTCTGCTCTGGTAACGAATAATTTGTAAAATTAGTTGCGTCAACTAAATTTTTTTTATGTCACTACGAATATGCTACGACGATTTTGCTAAAAGAGCAAATTTATTTTCCTCCGTGTAGAAAACTTTTATATTCAGTTAGACCTAATGTAGAAACATACAACGACAAACATCGCCACATCGTCATATCGCAGCTCATTCACCGTATCGTTCATATTACAATTTTATGTACTTATTTACAAGATGATAGAGGAACTTTGTGTTTAGCTTGATAACACAATAGTTGTGTTGACGCAGTAATTGTTCATGGAAGAGGAATTTTGTGTTAGTTTGATGAGTGATATCTGCACATAACGGGTGTGTCACTAATTGTCCGATATCCTGTACAGACCGTAAGAAATAATTTTAATGGCGACTTAATCCGCGTTGCACGAAACAGCCGGACAACAAAAAAAGAAAGAAACAGTGCGGGGGAAATCACAAAAACGCGTCAACCTTGTTAACGTGTGGCACATAAAACTGGATTTTGTATTGATCCTTGAGATCAGTTTGACTGGATAGTGTTAGTAATATAATAACTTTACGACACATGATTAATTTTAGCTTTCGTCAGTATCCACTTTATTAACCAGCCTGTTGTATTGATTATTCCGTTAAAAATTAATTGTTACATAAGGAAATTATGATATAGGAACGTAAAAAAAAATTAACATTCCTAGGCGATAATAATTGTTCTAATAACACGTTCATTAAAATCCATGAGAATCTTTGTCTAATCGCATCCATTAGCATTTTTCTGCTAATGTAAATTAAATTCAATTACCAGCATGGTTCATTCATCGATTTACGACATTTCATATCTCATTCCCTCATTTCTCCATTAATCTTGTTAATCCCGCTTCGCGATATTCCTTTGATTTGTGTTCGTTAAAACGATGCTTGTCGCTTTTTGTGATCTATCAGCCATAAATTTCGTAGTGCGACATTTTTTCCATCAACAAAAAGAAATTTTACGTGCCAATATGAGCATGAAGCGTATCGACGTTAATTAAATGATCGAAGGCGAATAATAAAAGCAACTTGTTGAGAAAATGGAGAAAAAGCTGTCAATGATGTAAGAGGTATTATGTTTTATCAAACTTCTCGTTATGGTTTCCATATTATTCAACTGTTCATTGTCATTGAATACCAGCACAAATACTTAATAAGTATTCGTCATTATTAAGTATTCGTAATACTTAATAAGTATTCGTCATTATTAAGTATTGGTACAAATATTTTAATGGACAATTTACGACACAAGCGATACAAATGCAAAACAGCCTTTGTTGTAGCAAGTTTACGTCTCGTGTGAGTAAAAAAGAACAGCAATTTCGATAACGATACGACGCCACATCGAAGCACGGAAGAATGCCTGCGGCAACATTAATGAAAAACCAAAAAACCCGACCGCACAAAAATATTACACTAACATTAAACTTAAGAAGCTTTTCATTACGTTGTCAAAGGTGTTATTATGATCTTAATGTGCTCATTTTTGCAGCTTTAAATAAACCTCAAACACGTATAATATAATACATTAATATAATTTGTTTAATTGTTTTCTCGGATAATGCTAGCCTCTGTCTTGTGTTTAAATCAATTTCACTTCAATATCCATCAAAATATAACTACCTTGCCGTCTCAACCACAGCTCGTTGGAGCAATATTGTTCGCAAATTTGGCCCCAATATATCCAATATCGGCCCAATTGTAAAGTAGATGCCTTACATTTTATAACCAATGTAAAATTCTGAATATTAGCAATTCATCTGATACCAATATTGGCTACATATCGGGTTGTATTGGTCCCCCAATGTATATTAATATTAGTACAATCATGTTGTGCAACATTGGCAATTTATTCACATTTTATTTATAATCAATATTGACTATATTGGCCCGAAGTATGCCCGATGTAACCAATATTGCCAATGCAACGCCAATGAACTGTGTTACTGCGGAACGTTTTAGCAGTATCAATGCGCTGCTTTCTGATGAAAATTCCTACAAAATTCCTACAACATTCAATGCAAGAAAGATACGAATTTACTAAGATATAACAACATTTTAGCAGTAGTAACATCGACTTGCCGCTATGTGGTACGGTTCTCACCTGGTAAGCTCTCTTTCTCGTGCAAAGGACGACACAGCGCGGGATGCAACCGCGCGCAGAGGTACGAAGTCAATAATCCACAAAAAGACGAACAGATTCACTTTGCGGTGGTCGCGGTGGAGCGAGAAGAGAAGGGAGATCACACAGAGGGTGTCCCGATGTATCCCGCTCCGTTCGAATCCTCGCGGATCGCGCGCGACGTAGATGTGCGCTCGCGCTGTAGATCGCACGTGGTTTCCCGGGTGCGGCGCGTGGAACTATCGCGGACTCGTGCGGGACAAGTGCGCGAGCGTAAATCGGCTCGTCCGCGTGCAACGTAGCTTGGTCCCCGTCGGTTTTTCGGACGCACTACATCGTCGTTTCGAGAGGGCGTATGGACTGTCGACGGCACGAACGATTGGTGGGGCTTTATAGCCTTCCACGACACGAAACCGCTCTTCCCCACCCCGGGATGGTGCCGAGATCGGATTGACGTAAACGGCCTGTTTGTGGTGGACCTGTCGTCGCCGCTCGGCGTCGACGATGAATCGCGCGGCTCGTGACGTCAGCGAGGAACACTCCGGGGGTTTTCGCGATTTTACGCGCGCGCCTCTCCCGCGACCTTTCCTGATCGCGTATGAGCGCGCGTATTCCGCGGACGTCATCGCGCGCCGCGCCGCGACTTCCTTCTCTCTACCGACCTCTTTCGCGCCTGCCGCGCGCACAGGTGAGTGCACAGGTGAGAGCGTCATCGAGAGCGCGGGAAAGCGTGCGTATGCGTCAGTCGCCGAGCGTGTTCGATCAAGAGAGGGAAAATCCTTCTCGATACCGGGAAAAATCGTCGTAAAAATCGAGACACAAGAATGGAATGATCACGCAAACAGACCTAATTATCATGACATGACACAATCAATGATGAGAAAATCGTATGAATCGTTTAATTACATTTTTAACATAAATATGCAAATCATTGCATATATTGACCCGTACACGAAAAAAAATAATTTGCTGATCCAGCAAATTTCCTGCTGATCTAGGAAAATCTTTTCGTTATTATATGGACAGCAAAAAAATTTGCTAAGAGTACTAATCACTATTTGCTGGATATAATTTGCTGAATTTACAAATTATTTTACTGTAAGAACCATGATGGATTTATATAAGCAATTACAGTTTTGCTTCGATAGCAAATAAATTTGCTAAGGATACATTATTTTGCATCAATAGCAAATTAACGTGATTCTTAGGACAAATCACTCAACGAATTTTTCCTGTCCTGGCAATGAAATTACTCCTACTCTGATAGCAAATAATTTGTGAAATTAGTTACATCAACTAAATTTTTTTGATGTCACTACAAATATGCAGTAGCAACGACGATTTTGCTAAAAGAGCAAAATTATTTTTTTCCATGTATTGAATTAATTATTACATCTACCTCATACAATAATGTAAATTTCTTGTTGTATCGATGTAACAATATATTTATTAAAAGTTGCGCTCAGATTTTCATATTATAAATATTCAACACGATGTACTTTTTTTTTGTTTCGAACAAATTTTGATATTTTTTTCGTGTCTCTTTCATGTTTCTATTTCGCTATTCTGTGTGATAAATATAATTACATTCTGATTAATTATAAGGGACTTAACATTGCTGAATTTCGTGATTTAATATACTTAAAGTTGCTGTAAGGTTCACATACGTCAGCTTATCGCAGCAGAAAAATAAATCTACGTAAACTTGGGAGCAATTTTCCTATCTAATAGACCTTCTACAATAAATCATCAGTCATAAGCCGCAAGCATACTGTGAATTGACAGTCACAGTCAATTATTTTCAAAAATATTCAACTGTTGTTCAAAAATATTTAACTTACGGTTTATGACTAATGACTTCTTATAAAAGGCCCATAAAGATTACACTCTTTATGAGTGGTTCATATGACACTTATGCGTTATCACACAGAATGGCGAGATGAAAATGCGAGAGAGATACGAAAAGAATAATGAAAATTTGCTCAAAATAATATATCATGCAAAATGTAATATAAAACTCTGAGTATAACTTTTAGTCAGTTTGTTATCGCATCAATACAGCAACAAATTTACAATATTGTGTGATGTAAATTTAACGTCATTCTATGCAACAAAAATATTAGTGCAATCTAATTAGTGATTCAATGCACTTTAACTGTGGAACACTAAACATGAGTAAAATTTGCCCAGACAAATTTTTCAAACGTGATTGTTCTTAAAAAATATGTGTTTTATTTTCTCATTATAACTTCTTCGACTTCATTAAATCACTTCATTAAACATCAACAAATTCATACTCTTCAATGCTTTCTACACTGATTAAAGAAAAGGATTAAATTTCGATCATTCTTCCAGAAGTTATAAATAAATAAAAATGCGCTGAGTAAAATTTATCTATGTTTAAGATTTACGTAATTTTTTCATGTTTAAAGTTCTAAAGTTATAAAAAGTTGCTATAAAGTTTATGTATTATACGTCAGTCTATCGAAATAAAAGGCATCCACATGCATGTACTCCTAAGATACGTCGTTTGGAAAATCAGATACTTCTTTTACCAGATCTCTCGTGTTATTCAATAAAACTGTGTTATTTAATGAATTTTATTTTCACATTCGCTACACCGCGCGTCAGACATGTGTGACGCATCAATTTTTACGAGAATGTTTTCTCGTGGTAGCGATAACGCTGATAAAGGCAATATTAGTAAAACTATTTTCACTGTTTGAATTATTGTATAGTTTCTTGTTGACTCTGTTTTCATATCTGGGCCTCTGTTCTTAAAATAATTGCGCAAGTATCATTGCGTAGCTATTTTATGATATGATTATACCTGCGCAAAGGGACTTATATATACGAAAAAATTTCCAGAATATGAGCTCTGATATTCAAAAAGTTGTAACACGTCATTTTCATGTAGTTAAAAGAACTTGATTTCAAAAATCTCAATATAGCGATTTCTCCTTATAGTTCTTGTATAAATGCACCAAATAAATTTTGTTACATGCGTATGACTATTTTTTATTGTGAAATCACAAAGTAGACCGCTTACAAAAACTTTGAAAGAGCTTATAGTCTACATTTCGATCGCCTCAAGTTGGAGACCAGGATAAAAGTTGAGTTCCACATGTGTGCTGCATATGTTGTCACGTATCTCTTCCTACGTACAACGAAATTTATTCGATGCATTTGTGAGGAGGAAAACCCTAAACTCATCGCTCAATGTAAAAGTGACATGAAGAGGAAAACTATATCCATCTCGCGATGTAAGAATGATCGAAAGAAAATACAGAAGATATTTCTATTAAACAGGACTATTTCAATAACAAAAAGATGTGCCATTAGCTGTTATTTGTATTTTTAAACTCACTGAAACGATTAAGAACAACATGATTTGATTCAGATTATCGAAAGAAAATCTTATTTGTTTAGTGAATTTTTCATTCTGTGCCCACATAAACGAATTGGGTCTTTTTTACGATGTTCTATAAGAAAATGTAGAAAGTATAACAGATAGTTTCCCAGTAACGAACATATTAATAAGAATATTAATGTCAATGACCTTTATTAAGAAAGTATAATGACGTTTTGTTTATTCATATGTCTCGACAAGATTTCGGTATCTCGTTCGGCAAACAACGGAGAATCGCACGCGTTGGAATTAATGAAGCGGAACATCGCTTCCGTCTCTTCGTACGGTTACAACAGAACTTGATATAATATGACGGTTTAAAAGAGTAATTTAATTAATGTCCAGAACGTACAGAAAAATTAATCACAGTTAGCAATTCGAACTGCAGGATTTTCAAGAGGTCTTTGCAAACTGCGATTTAATACATTCCTAGCTTCCCAAATGTATTTATTTCTATGATTTTGCTATGATTATGTCTTTATTTCATTGTTCTATGTGATAAATATGAATGCTATATGAACCACTTATAAAGGACAGCATTTGTAAGTTGACTAATAAAGCTACTGCCAAATTTACGTACACCTATTTGGGTAACAACGTGATATATACATAACTGCTATAATATAATTATACACTGCTATTATAATTATATATAACTGCTATTATAATTATACATATAACTACATATAATACATATAAATATATATAACTACTATAATTTTTCTCTGTTTTAGTAATAACATAATACTCATATATTATATATATATCGATATTTGCAATAAATCTTACACAAATCTTTTTTAATTAATATCTAAAAATCTATGTAGTCATTTGCAAAATGGTAAAGGACTTTTTTGTTTAGTTTGATAATATTATATATATATCGATATTTGCAATAAATCTTACACAAATCTTTTTTAATTAATATCTAAAAATCTATGTAGTCATTTGCAAAATGGTAAAGGACTTTTTTGTTTAGTTTGATAATATTATATATATATATATATATATATATATATATATATATATATATATATATACACATACATACATTATATTATATTATATAAAGTCCTTTACCATTTTGCAAATGACTACATAGATTTTTAGATATTAATTAAAAAAGATTTGTGTATTATCGCGTACAATCATGTAATAATGTTCCTTTATTAAATATCTATGTGGTTATTTGTAAAATAATAAAACTTTTTTGTTTAGTTTAATCTAACTTATGTTAAGTACACGACAGCACATATATTGCCACTATAGCTCATCCACCATATCATTGATCATTCACTAATATTCTTTAATTAATATCTCGAGATTTATTGTGAATATCGGTATGGGACTTTTATGTTCACCCCGTTAATCCGTTTTACGTTCTCACAAACATTACGGAGATGAATCTGGGACACCCTGTATAAAGTAGTAAAAGATTGTGTGTGGATTCTTGAAATAAACCACAGTGGCGAACAGTTAATTAATTAATTCAAACATGGCAAAAGAATCCTTTGTCCATGGCAAATGAACATTTTTAATATTATTAATCAGCACGTAGTTATGACGTTATATACACGTCGCTGGAGCACGTATTTAATAATTCTCATTTCGACGGTAAGTCACACACGCGGTACACATTATCTGCTGAAACAGATAGGAGATGTCACTCATTTGCAGAAAACTTTAGAAAATATAACGGTTTTACAATGTTTTGTTTCTTTTTATTATCTGTCATGGACATGACTTGCTAATTCGGATAGCAACACGTACGAAATACGTTACCATAATTTAAATAAGAAGAATAAGATAAGACACAGTCGTACTACTAATCATCACTCAAGGAAACTCAACACCGAAGAATTAGTGTGCTTTACAAGAGATAGATAGGTTAATCCATTTATTATCGTTCAAGCGTTAAAAGCTTTCAGGAAGGATCTTATAAATTAATAATTAAGGATCTTATAAATTAATAATTAAGGGTCTTATAAATTAATAATACAAAAATACACATTTAAGATACAGTTAAAAATGAAAATTGCATGTAATTCGATGTGTTTCAGCGCATCATTCAGACAATCAAAAAGAACTCAGCTGTCATTCTCTC